ACTGTAAAAGTGAGAATTATGCTAAGTGGAATTGTCTATACTGCAAAAAACAAACTTGCAACCGAGAGCAATGTAACTAAGCAAGATGGTGAAATTGTCACATGACTCAAAAATGAAGAATGAACTTAGAAAGAATCCAAAAAATTTAAAAATAAATTAAACCGAGATATATAACTGTAATGAAATTTCCTTCAAGAATGTAACCAAAAATCAAAAATAATTTCTTCAAGAAACTATTTTTTGAAGCAGGAGGAGCCAAGATAATGCATGGCCTCTGTCGAATAGGTTCTGAAATACACATATCCAATGACATGAAACGATGCCTGTTCAAAAACTTCAACAAACCAGATTAGGAAAAAAGTGCAGAGATGTATGAGGAACAAGTACAACTACTGTAAAGTTGAAAGGTACCCTTTTCTCATAAGCATTCATTCAACACCAAACTTGCAAAGAAATAAAAAAAAAAGTTTAGAAATTTCAACCAACCCAAGATTTGAAAAAACCACAGCAACTGGTATTTTATAATATTGTGGGAAGATGGAGTAAAATATTAACATGATATGAAGATAAGGAGGAGAAACCAGTTTTGTAGGATCTTTGGTTCATACTTCATGGGTAATCGTAGGACCTCTCCAAATCTAGAGAAAGGGATCGTTAGTACCACAAGTTCTGGTTCAATGGTCGGATTTGCCTTTGGAAGATTCGACATGGGAAGATAAAGATGCGATTTTGACAATAGGGACAAGTAGTTTAACCCAAAACTAAGCAGAGACACCATTTTTCTCTACGGGTGTTTGTCGGACTAACACCTCTGTGACCATGCCAAACTTAGCTGACAACAAAGGAGATATTTTTATAGAAAGCGAGCTAGGTGTTCCAAAGACTGGCCATAGCAACACAAAGACTAAGAAGCAGTGCTTTAATTTGGCTGAGCAAGCAAGGTGTGATAAAAGTAGAGGAAAAAGGAGGGAGAAAATTGCTACAAGCCAAGACACAAAAGAAAGAAAACTACGAAATTGGATAAGGGCAAAGCATCGGAAGCGGAGGCAACAAAGACTTGGAGGTTTCTAAAAAATTGAACCCATTTTACTACAATCAGATAAGCCATGTGATTTTACTAAACCCGAGGAATAACTAGTTTCTATTAACAATCAACGTTCAACGGTGCAAATCAGCCCTCCTATGTCGGCAAATTATGGGCCGCAAGATTTACAAAGTGGATTATAGTTGGCACCTACTTTTTCTTGGAAATCAACAGCTGCAATGTCGACAATACCAGCACCTCCCATCATTAAACCCAACTTTCTAAGAAATCCAACAAGTTCTAAGTTCATTCCTATGCCAACAGCACCTACATCGTTGGATCAAAAATTGGCAGAGCATAAAACAGCAATTGGGCTAAAAATGCTAGTAAAATTGGGCTGGTCAATAAGAGAAAAGGAAAGATACTAGCCCACTTTAAAGACTTTGTATTAGGTTAGGCAAAAACACCTTTCGATAATCCTGAATTCCTAGATAGGCAAAACTATCAGTTCTAAGAACAATAAATCTACTAAAACAAAATAATAAAATTGAGTATTTACCAATAATAATAATAATAATAATAAAATTGAATGACACAATTGGTCAAACTTTTAGTCCACTTTAAACATAGCATGAGCTATTTACCCAAAAACAATTATAGCATGAGCTCGTTTGTTAAGTTTTTGTGATTTCTTAATCCAAACATACTTATATTAAAAAGAAAATAAAACGAAAATATCATAGAGATATTGTCTAACTTTTGTTTCAAAATTTCATAAAATCCACAATCAGTGAATTTATTAATGACAATTACATAATAAGCGAAACATTTAATCATTTATTTTGTAAAAAAAAACTTTTCATCGCATAAATCAATGTCTCAATCTTGGTAACCAATAGTAATAGGAAACCACCCCTGATAAATCTCTAAAGCATTTGTGAGGGAATAAACAGTGATGGTGGACTGGTGGAAGAGGCAAAAGGCATAAATATTGACCAAGAGAGGAGCATTCAAGAATAATAAAAGAAAATAAGATCCAGACAAAGCTTTAATCTCTTACTTAGTTATTAGTTAAAGAATATAAACATGTTATTTTAAGTTTTAAAAAATTAAATTTTTTAATTAATTATGCATACTTTTTATTTTCAATTTAATTTAAATTTCATTAAAATTAATTATCTATGTTTCTCTTATAATTAAAATTCATGAATTAATTTACTTTGTTAATTACAAAATAAATATGAAGAAAACAATGAGAAAATGAAAATGAAAATTCCACAAACAGCATCTTGTGCTTTCCTGCTTCTCAAACAGTTAAGGCAGGTTAAATGTCTTAAATTTAAGGTAACCTCCCATCGTTATTCAGTTTTTGACACTCACTGAATATGAAGAAGCCTAACCTTCAATACTTTATAATGCCTAATTTGCATTAATTGAATACACTAGTAGTATGTATATTAGAAGAAAGTTTTGGACTAAAGTAGTAGGGTTTATATTCGCATAGCTAGGATTAGGAGATATCTATATTTTAACACAAGTTTGTTCTCCACAGTGATAACACCTCGTAATCCACAATCAGTTTTCCCTCGCTCTCTCGCTTCTTCGTACCCCCTCACACATCAACACCAAACCATCACTGGCCTTCAACATATCAGCAGACCACAACCCTCCTTCATCGCAGAAGTTCTTTCGTTTCCTTCCCTCTCTCTTTCGCATTCCCACTTGCACGTCAATGTAAGTTTGTTCTTGATTCAGTCTCTTAAACTTAGCCATGATTTAATTGTGACACTTCCTGTATATACTCCTCTAGAACAATCATTCAATGCGAATTCATTTGCTTCTCATCATTTCTCTTCTTTCTCTCTATCCTTGCTTTGCTGATACCTTTCAAGTATTCTGCATAATTGCATATGAATCCTCCCATGATTATAATTCTGATTTGTTTCATATGGGACCTGGACTAACTAATTAGTAGGGTTGGGCTTCGCTTAAAGGGGCAATTAAAGTATTGTTTTTTATCTCCTCTATATTTCAAATCCATAACTTTTTTAGCATTTGTTGTAAAAAAATTACACAATAAAATATTATAATTTTTTAGATAATTTTTTTAAATATGAAATGTTGTCATTTTAATTAAAATCTATTGCAATTTGTTATTTTATACAAGTGATGAAATTTGTAAACAAAAAGTAAAGAAATAGATTTATACGGAATTTTGATTCTCAGAATAAAAAATAAAACGTGTTATCAAACACAATTCTCATTCTCAGAATAAAAATAGAACATGTTATCAAACACGTTTTTTTTTCTTAGAAATTGTTCCAAGGCACAGAAATAGAAAAGAATTGTTTCTTTTCAGAAACAGTGCCAGGGAAGAGAATGGTTGCCATGCACACCCTTAGCTTGAGCACTTGCCTCTGCAACTTGTATATCTATTAAAAACATGATTTGAGCTTTCAAAAAGGTGCTTGTGCTTTTTCTTCTTTTTTATTCGACTGGTACAGTGGTATAGTATGTCTCTTAATCGAAGAGCTTTGGCCTTTGTGCTTTTTTTGTTGAGGTTATTGAATATTGATTATTTTATTTGGTAATTGCCTCTGCAGTGAGACAAGTAAATAGTAAAGAAAGAGAACATTTATAGCTGCACAACAGAGGAGGTATCTATTATTCTATTCTCCTGCATTTTTTTTCTCTAAAAAAGTATAAATGAAGGCATTTACAAATCACAATCGCATTTATTGGTTTCGTATGTAATTATGAGCAACCTGTATGATACAAGAAAAGTGTAAAGAGTATGAGTTAAACTTGATTGCATATTAGTTGATAGTAATAGGCATTTGTTGTATAGTCAATAGCTTGATGGAAAGTTATAAGAGGTTGTCCATTATTTTTTTATATGAACTATGAAGATTACAATAATGCAGTAGGTGTTACGAAATGAAAAGATAGAAGAATCAAACAAAAATATATTTTGTAAATAAAAAGTATAATGAAAGAGAATCCCTTTGACTCTAAATGTTGTCTATATGCTTTAATTTATAGTTAATATCTCAATTGTAAAGTTGATGTCTTCCTTGATATCTTAATTTATAGCAAGGCTTTTTTTATTTAGTATTTAGTATTCTATTTTTATTTATTTATTTGCTACGCTAGTTTTTATTTGTTATTTTTATTGTCACTAGAGAATGGTCTTTTCTTTTCTCATTGCAGTTCTTATCTTGTTATTCTGAAACTTGGGGACTTCTAAAGTATGGGCAAGGATAAACAGGGAAGTATAGATGTGTTCTTTAAAAAGAAAGTAGTATCTGAAAGTGAATTAAGTAATGCTCCTTCTCATAAGTAACCTTCTTCCAAGTGTCGTAGAATTGAACGTATTGATGACATTATTACAATCAAAAATAAAAAATTTGAACGTGATCCAGGAAAACGTAAGCCAATTTGGGAATATTCAGCTAATGAAGTCGATGAGATACGAAGAGCTTATTTAATAGCTGGGCCATATCAACCTCATTGCTCCTATCCAAAGGAGAAGCATCCTCGATATTTTCAAGCTTCTTGGTTCAAAGAGTTTTCTTTGTGGCTTAAGTATTCACCTTATATAGATGCCTTATTTTGTTTACCATGCTATCTTTTCACTACAAAAGTCGGTGGGCGACATGGTTGGGATGCATTCACAATCAAGGGTTTTAATAGTTGGCATAAAGCTCATTGTGGAAAGTATCGTACTTTTCCAAGTCACATGGGAGATGATCCTTGTTCACAACATAATAATGTACTCATCTCATGTGCAACCTTAATGAATCAGCCTTGTCATATTGACAAAGTTATACATACTCAAAGCTCCCAACAAATTGAAAAAAATAAGTTGAGTGTTAAGACTTTAATTGATGTTGCTCGGTGGCTTTCTTTTCAAGGATGTGCTTTCAGAGGGCATAACGAGACTATTATTTCAAGAAATAGTGGTAATTTTATTAAAATGATCAAACTTTTGGCATCTTACAATGAAAATGTTTTAGATGTTCTTCTACAGAATGCTCCATTGACAGCCAAGTATATCCCACCTCAAATACAAAAGGAGATTTTATATGTTCTAGCAAACAAAGTGCGAAAACAGATTCGCAAAGATATTGAGGTCTCTAAGTTTTGTATTACTGTGGATGAAGCACGTGATGAATCCAAAAGGGAACAAATGGCTCTTGTCTTGAGATTTGTTGACAAAGATGGTTTCACAAAAGAAAGATTTTTTTTTATCTTTATCATGTTCAAGATACACATCTATGACACTTAAAAATGCTATTAGTGAAATATTCTCACATCATTGCCTTGATATCCAGAATATTCGTGGCCAAGGATATGATGGTGCTAGTAACATGCGTGGTGAATGGAATGTATTGCAGGCATTATTTCTTAATGAATGTCCTTGTGCTTATTATGTGCATTGTTTTGCTTATCGATTACAATTAGCCTTGATTACTGCTGCCTCTAAGGAAATTTCTTCTATTTATCAATTCTTTCAGAATTTGAATTCATCATTATATCACTGCTTCTTCTAAGCGCCATGATCAATTCCAAGCTGCCCAAATTTCTGAATTTGAACATTTGCAGGCTATTGGTGAGCTTGAAACTGATACAGGTTCTAACCAAGTAGGTACATCAAAGAGGGCTAGTGATACTAGATGGGATTCTCATTTTTATTCTATATGCAGTCTTCAACGAAGGTATAATGAATCATGTTCAGTACTTGAAATAATTCGTAATGAAGGCTCAAATTACTCTCAAAGAGAAAATGCTACTGCAGCTTATAAGATGATCACTTCCTTTGAGTTTATCTTTAATTTATTTTTGATGAAAGAGATAATGAGAATCACTGAAATTCTTTGTCAAGCATTACAACAAAAATCTCAAGATATTTTGAATACTATACAATTAGTTTCAAGTACAAAGGAGCTTATTCAAGAATTACGAGATGATGATTGGAAAATAGTACTTCAAATTGTTGTTAATTTTTCCAAGCTTCATAAAATAGATGTTTCAGATTTTGATGCTCAATATACTGAAGGTCGCGGTCGTCGACAATTTGATCAAATAACTATTGAACATCACTATCATTTTGATATCTTTAATTCAACCATTGACTTTCAATTACAAGGTTTAGATAGAAAGTTTAATGAGCAATCGATGGAACTTTTATCACTTAGCTCTTCATTAGATCCGAAGGATGGTTACAAAGCATTTAATGTTGATGATATTTGTAGTCTTGCAGAGAAATAATATCCTCTTGATTTTTCTAAGCATGAGAGAATTAATTTGAATTGTCAATTGAAGCATTTCCACAAGGACATCCCAAAACATTAATGTTAAGTACTTAAAGTTAGAGTCTTGGGAGTTTCCGGGTAAAAAATTTGACGACGGAGTAGTTAAAAATTACACCGGGTTTCACTAAAGGACGAGTGCCACTAAAGTGACATGGCACCCCTAATTAGGACACCTTCCTCCCATTTTTCTGATCAGATTTGCAGCCCCCATTTCTCCTTCTCTCTCTAAATTTCAAACTTCAAACTTTGCTCTCACTTCTCTCTAAGATTTCATCTCCAAAACCTCACCAAATCACCAAACTTCCTTCACAAAGATTGTTTCCCTCACTCTCCTCTTCACAACCATACCATTTTCATTGTGTGAATCAAAAATTTTGTGTCCCTTATCATCTCAAATAGCCACGGTTTTGTGAAGAGCAAAGGCTATGGAGTTGTGTTCTTGAGCTTTCTTGAAGAACCACACTTGTTTGCTTTTTTCCTTTGATTTTTGGGTAAGTGTTCTTGATTTTTTCATGTAAAACCTCATCTTTTCTTCTTGTGTTCTTGAGCCTAACTCATGAGCATGTTCATGAAGGTTTGTTCTTGCTTAAAGGAGGGTTCTTGGTGGAAAAAGGTGGAGACTTGAGCTAAAGGAGGAACCTTGAAGATGTAAGCTCCCACTTGGGAAATATGAACCAAAAAGCCTCCTCTTTTCTTGTTGAGTGCCTCAGTTTTGATATGTTCATGAGGAGAATGTTGTTTAAAATTTTGTAAAGTAATGGTTTGATGAAGATCTTTAAGGGGGTGTGTGTTTTGAACCATGGAATCATGGATTTGATGAGTAAAGGTGCCACCTTTGGACCTTTGTGTGTTGTTCATGTGAAAAGATGAACATGAACCCTATATGGACCCTTGATGATTTCAGCCATGTCATGTAATAATAAGGTTTGATGATAAAAAAATTTGATTAAGTTGTTAAGTGTGGAAAAATGATTAGAAAGATTAACTAGGTGGGTTAACTCTAAGTAAAACTCAATAATCATGATTAATAATGGCTAAAAACTCTAATTAAAATAGCTCATCAAATCTGCCCCATAAAGTATATAAGGGTTTAGTTGTTTTAAAATTAAGGAGATGATGAATTAGGTGATTAATTAAGGGTAGGGATTAATTAACAAAAGTAATTAAGGATTTAACTCTAAAATTGGACTAAAGTAGGGTTTAGGTACACTAATTAAATAATTAGTAAAATTTAAGTATCATGACCTAATGGGACTAAGGATATTTCATAATGTGACTTAATAATAGAAAAATCCAAGAATTAATGTGAATTAGGATTTATAATCAAAAGTAATTAAGGTTTGTTAAGTAAACACATTTAAGGCTAAATAACCAGTTTTTAGGGAAAATTGGGGAGAGCATATCTCCCTCCACAGAGGTCATATAGGGTTGTGCCTTATATCAAATTGAATCTTGAGATGTTATCTATGTGGTGTCAAAATTTGGTATCAATTGAAGATGTATTCCGTTCTGTATGTTCGTTTGAGTGAGGACTGCACAGGGAGGCCATGTGCAGGAGCTGTACATAGCTGCAACTTCCACGAATTTGTTCTTCTTATGTGCTTACTCAAATTAGGCTCATAATATGTCGAATTAAAGATAAATGTGTCTAGTTGTCTACATAAAAATTTAAGAGCAATTGATTTAGTAGATTGTCCAGAATCGCAGAAATGGTAAAGGATGTTTAGGGCCCTGTTCGGAGTTGGCAAACAACTTTGCTTGTCCAACTTCAAATGGTGATAACCGGAGCTAGGAAACTCCAAATGAGGCATGTGATACCTTTTTGGAAAGGTAATTGAGTCTAGATTAACATACTAAAAGATGAGAATTTTATAACAAGTGAGTTACGCTCAGTGACTAGAAAACAGAAGCGTGTAAAGTTATGGGAAAACCGTGAAAGTGATATTTAGGCTAATTGGGCTTAAGGGAACCCTTAGCAATTTATAATAATTAATGTTCAAGGTTATGAAGGATATATTTTGATGGTAAATTTTGTGATTAGTTGTAAGTTAAGTGAAAAATGCCTTAATCTAAGAGAGTTTATTAATGGACTAAGGGTCTAATGAGTTATTGTGGACTTAGTGAACAATTCCTTATGAACTAAAATCATGTAATTAAGTAATAAATGGTCTAGACTTGTAATGGGCATATTATTGGCATATAAGTATGGAAAGTGGGATCATTAAATGGTTAAGTCTTGTATATGACTTGATTAATTACTATGTAATTAATGATGTGAATGGTTCATACTCTAGGTGTACCTAGAGAACCTTGCACATGAGGATTTATTGGAGCATACGTGTTTTACTGTTGGAGTTGGGCTTGTGATAAGCTCATGGAGGTAAGCTCCTAGTTCTAGTTGACTCTTCTATCTTGTGGCCCCACCATGATGGTGCACATTATGGTTGTATTGTATGAAAGTAAATGGTATAATGTATATGTGCATTCATTCACATTCATATAGATGTTATATGATCTTGATGTTATGATGATGCACTGATGATATATGTTATGAGGATCCTGGCCAGTGATCATGGTATGTAGGTTGCCTATAACTTGACTCTGGGAGCTATTTCATACTGAGGTTGTGTTGACTGTCTGTGGCTTGACCCTGGAAGTCACACGTGTAACCGTCTATGACTTTGACCCTGAGGTTACACAAGGATGATATGATGATGCTATGTTTATGTTGTATGTCTGTATTATATGCTTTATATCTGACTTGTCATGCAGGAAGTGGGCTCAGGGGTTAGAAGATCCTCTATGAACCTTGAGCTTACTGAGATGTTGTTATCTCACCCCGTTTGGGGACATCATTTTAGGTACCCAGAGTAGTGGTGATGCTTCTAGGGGCAAGGCCCCCGCATTGGAGTAGTTGATGATGCAGCTGATGATTTTATATTATGTTTAGATTTGATGTTGGCATGTAGACTTGTTTACATGCTTAATTATTTTATGGAGATTATTATATGTATTTATTTAGGCTCATGATTGTATTCTTAGAGCCATGGATTATTTACTGATGCTTTTATACTTTGAATTAATATAGACTTGATGCATGTATTCAGTTAATTTGGGCATGGAGCCTTATTATTTGTATTGACCCATTGAGGGGATTGCAATCCGTGTGGGATTTGCAAGCTATCTTTTAAATTATTGTATCAATTAGGTGATCTGTATGTGTGGGACCATATTCCTAGTTATCCGAAATACAGCCGTTATACTGTTCGTGAGACTCGGTTAGGAATGACACTTGATGTCATATCTTGATGGTCAATGGGGCCACTAATACTGGCTAATAGGAGTAATTAGTGGATGTATGTATAGATTTACGCTTTTGCAGTATCTTACGTGAACGTTTTTAGAAATGTTTTTATAAAATGTTTTGGAAAAAGTTTACTCGTATTTTTCTAAAACGTGTTAGTATTCTTTTAAAATAAAGCCTTCCGCTGTGAATGTTAAATATCATGTATGTTAAAAACCGGATTACTACGGGGTGTTACAATGATATTTGTAGTCTTGCAGTGAAATAATATCCTCTTGATTTTTCTAAGCATGAGAGAATTAATTTGAATTGTCAATTGAAGCATTTCCACAAGGACATCCCAAAACATCCAATACTTCAAAATTTATCTTCAATTTCTGAGTTGTGTCAAGAATTAGCTAAGACAGGAAAGTCAAATTCCTATAATTTGGTTGATAGGCTAATTCGTCTTATTTTAACACTACCAGTTTCAATAACAAGTGGTGAACGTGCATTCTCAGCAATGAAAATTGTGAAAACAAGGCTTCGAAACAAAATGGAGATTTTCTTGCAAATAATTTGATTGTGTATATTGAAATAGAGGTTGCTGAAACTTTTACTACATATTCTATCCTTGAAGATTTCGTCAGTTTAAAAGAGCGTCGTTTACAATTTTAGGTATGCATTTTTTTTATTATATTTTAAATTATTTATTAAATGTTATTATGCATATATTTATTATATTTGTGTGTTTTCATATCCTTAGGACAATGCTTGGTTCATTACTTATTATGTTGTGGGAGGAAAGTGAAATTCTTATGTTTGAAATGCTTATCGAAAATGTTAGTGCTTTTTTATATGTTTGCTTTGATATATAATCATTGATAATTGTTTATTTGAATTTTCAATGTTATGTGACATTATTTAATACACAATTTAAATAACTATGCTAGAATTCATAGTAAATTTATTTCCTGATTAATTTGTGTAATTACAATAATATTTTGATAATTTAATATGTCAAAATTTTTTAGCACCACCTAAATTTTTGGTCTGGTTCTGCCACTGAGTATAATCCTTGGGAGGACTTTAAACTTTAAAGCCTTATGTCTGGACTAGCTTTGAGCAGAATTGTCGCCCTTGGAGGAGGATACCTGTAGTTTATAAAAAAAAAAAAAAAAAAAAAAAACACTCCATATTAAGGATGTGCATGACAACCTTTCCAAAATGAGTTTTTTTTTTTTTTTTTTAATTCCTGTTTTCAAAAACATCAATGGATAGAAATAATGTTTGGTTAAATTGATTTATTTTTTTATTCCCAGAATAAACTGATTTAATTTTTGTGCTAAAAAATATAAAAAAAAAGAATAATTTTTTTTTACTTTTCCGTTTCGGTACACTGAAAGAAAATTAATTCTCTCTCTCACTTCTTCATGCCCACTCACATACCAACACCAAATCATTACCGGTCTTCAACCATATCACCATACCACCACCCCTCCCTTCACCGTGTCACACGAAAATTAAAAAACAAACAAAAAAAATCCAACTTAAGTAACGTTTTTTTAAAAATAATTTCAATTTTGTTCTCATTTCGTAAATTCCACCTCTTCCACCATGTTTGTTCACAAACTAGTTTTGTATTGGTAAATGGTATTTTATTCATTTCATTT